ATATTGAATCGGTTGATCCTTTATTAGTTGTAAAAATATAAACACATATAAATTGCAGCGCATACGGGAAACATTAAAATGTCAATGCTGCAAAGCAACCCTTATGGTGCTATAAACAGAAAATACATTGCCTATAAACATTCTTAACATGCAAAGATGTAGCAGAGGCACACAACCAAAATACCATAAGAAGCAATGCACTGGTTTCTTATTTTATCTTTTGTAAATATACATACATACACACAAACACATATGTACATTAGTTTGCATCACTCCACATACAAACAAAATCCGTTATATTTTTCCATTGGAATTATAAAATCTATTATATTTTAAGACGTCCACCAAAATATTTCGGAAAAATATTAAGATTTAACCGAGCTGGGCTGATTTGAAAATACCTCCAAAAATGGAGTTTTTCATGAATAAAAATAGTTTCTTAAAGATGTTTTTTGAAAAAATCGCCCCAAATAACAAAACGGTTTAAGCTTAAAAAATTTACATAAAAATATGTAAAAAAAAAATAAAAAATTTGGACGGAATCGTAATAATGAGATTTTTGATGCTGTTTTTTAACTTTTTTTAAATATTGGTATAGGAAAAACTTGAATAACTGAACCAAAACTCTTTCGATTTCGGACAGTGAGGTATCATTGGAAAGGTATTTTCTCATCCTTTTTATTTCTTGGCTAATAAGCTCATTCAAAGGATGAAAGAGAAAGGTAGGATGAACGGACATCATTAAAAGTTGAATTAAGATGTGTTGGTGTATGAACAACAAAAATTGGGGCACGAATGACTTTTTTTGCACATAAATAAAAGTAGTGGGAAAATACCTTTCTACCGAGATCCCATAAGTCTAAATCAAATCGCGCAGTTATTTAAGTTTTTCGTAAATCAATCTTTGAAAAAAGTAAAAAATAGCATCAAAAATCTCATTATTACGATTCCGTTGAAAAGATTTTTAAATATTTTTATGCAGGTTTTTTAAGTCTAATCTGGTTTTTCATCTGAGGAGACTTTTTCCAAAAAGTTCTTTAAGAAACTATTTTTATTCATAAAAAACTTCATTTTTGGAGGTATTTTCAAATCGGTCCAGCTCTCTCAAATCTTAATACTTTTCCGAAATATTTTGGTGGACGTCTTAAAATATAATATATTTTGTAATCCCGGTGGAAAAACTGCAACTTTTTTTGGAGATGCAGTCTAATGTACATATAAAATTAGTTAGGAAATATATAATATGAAAATTGTATATAAAGAAGAAATGTTTAATAAATATTCAGAACCGTCAAGACTCTCACCTAACAATCTTCTCTCCTTCAATGCTGGTCGTCTTGCCGTGGCGAAGGGGCTTAAATGACGACATGTAAATTCCCCAAAGGGAGCTTCCAGATCGTGATGAACTAAGAGGAAAGCTTCATATCCTTTGCAACCGTGAGGGAAGCCAACAAACAAAACTGGTATGTGAGCAAACTTCCCGGTTGGAAAGTATGTGGAGATAGCCGCACCAGCAACACCCTAAGCCAAGGTGTTGAGGTACCCGTACCGACGGCTGAATGGTCAGCGGGTGTATATTGAATAGCCGGCCGCGAACGATCCCCTCCGATGCCCGGGCAAGGTCGGAGGTATAAGTGCCTTCTCTACGTATGCCGGCTCTGAGGACGAGTGACGAACCCTTTCCGTGCATACTCGTGGGACCAAATATGAACGATCTACACAAAAAACAACAAACAACAAACGCAAACTGAAACCGAAACAAAACTGATGACGAACACTGGACAATCGACTTTGGCACTCCCTTTTCGGAACCCGGGCCCCGTCGTTACGGAGTCCGATGAGGACACCCTTCTTGCCTCCAGTCAGGAGACAATCAAAAGTGTTCCTGGTTGTACCAACCATAGTACACCAGAAGCACAAGCAGCAAAACATACCACATCAAAGGATGCCAAGCCAGGCAGTACCAACCACAGTACAACGACGGCGGGAGCAGGGCGGAAAAAGAAACATAAGAAGTCCCTGAACCAAATCAGAAAGAGCCGCTACCAGAGGGCAGTCTACATGCTAGATAAAATATCTAGCGATTCGGCTCCAAGCGGCTCCTATGAGTTGAAGGGGGTCGAATACTACAAAAAGGTGGTTGAGGAATATGAGAGCTCCTTAAAAGAGAAGCAATCTGCAAACCCCAATCCACCTGATATAAAGCAAAAGGGCGAATCTCAAAAGAGAAATCGTTCCACCAACGACAGCACTACCGGCGGAGAGAGCAAGAAGCCTAAACAGGCTTCTTCATCTGACCCCAACCCGCTGCAACGCCACTTTAGTGACGTTGCCAAAGACAGTCTGTTGATGGCCATAGTCGACGAAAACTCGAAGACTCCGGTATCTATGCAGAAGGACTGGGTGGAGATCGACGTCAAGCTATCGAGTCTCGTTATGGACTACGTCCTCGATAACCCGGCGGGTCCCCATCCGGAGTTTGATTCTTTTGGATCCTTTCGAGGATACAGGGTTATCAGATGCGCGGACCAAGCGTCTTTGGACTTCTTAGCTGGGTGCGTCGCTAAATTAAGCGAAGCATTCGTCGGCCTTAAACTAAGGCTGATTTCAGCTAAGGACGTCCCTCAGAGGCAACGTGCACGTATCTGGTTGTCCCCCCATGGAGGAACCAGGCGAGAAACTTCTGAGGTGCCTAAAGCTCGCCAACAAACACATACCGTGTATAGCAGACTGGCAGCTTATAAAAGTTCAGCAGCCAAATAAAACCAGCAGACCTCTTTTCTTGGCCATTTGCGAAGAATCTATTGAGGCTCTGTCAAAGGCGGACAACAGAATTCGCTTTGGCATCCGCATGGCCAAGATGAAGATTTTTGTAGGCGAAGAGGCTCCTGATGAAGACGACACAGAGGAGGTCCACGATGCGACCCAGTTGCTGAAGGACGTCAACATCACCGATGCAGCCTCCGCCGAAGATGAAGTGTAGTGTGTACATATTAATCTGCAGTACTCAATATGTGCGACAGAGGTAAGCATCGACGTCAGCCTAATCCAGGAGCCGTGGGTCAGAGGTGATCAGATCCATTTGCTCAACAGCAGTACACATAACCTCTTTTATAGTGGTAACACAGGTAAACCGAGAGCATGCATTATAATCAAAAAAGGTATTAATGCATTTCTCTGTCCAAATTACAGCACAGCAGACTTAACCGTGATGAAAGTGGAGAGGGAAGGGCACCAAAATATCTTCCTGGCATCTGCCTACCTGGCTCATGACAAGGACGCCCCATCCGACGAACTGGAACAATTTATCGCCCAAAATCAGAGGGAACAAATTCTGATAGGATGCGACGCAAATGCGAGACACACTATCTGGGGGAGTTCCTCGATAAACAGCAGAGGTGAATCTCTCTTACACTTTATATTAAATACTAACCTGAGTATATGCAAGGAGAGAGTTCGACCTTTATATTTCCCAGCTCCGAAAGATTTGCGGGATGGGAAGAGGTACTGGACTTAACCCTAGCAACAGATGGTATTGTCGTCGATGACTGGAGAGTATCCAGTGAAACATCCATGTCGGATCATTGTTGGATACTCTTCAGCATTCGCGGAAAGCCCACTACCTCTTCCCTATTTCGGAATCCGAGAAGAACAATATGGCCAAAATTTATCAGGCTAACGTCAGGTAACCTAGACAGTAGTAAATCAAAGGAGATTACAACTGCTGTAGAACTACACAACACAGTAGATAAGCTGGAAAAACTCTAGCCATAGCTTTTAAAAAATCCACACCAGTAAGTGTCCTTAAGAAAAAATACCCTCCATGGTGGACGAGGGAGCTTAGGGAGCACAGGTCAAATCTCAGAAACATCTTTAACGAGTGCTACAGAACAAAACTGTGGCAGCCATACAACGATGAATTAAGGCAGTACAAAAAATTAGTAAAGAAAGCTAAAGAGGACTCTTGGCAGTCCTATTGCAGATCCATAGAGAACTGTACGGATTCCGCCAGACTAAGAAAAGTTTTATCCAAGGAACACACCAACCCCAACCTTATTAAGGGAGAGGACGGTGCATGGACCAGGACAGCGAAGGAATCACTAGAGACTCTCATAAATACACACTTTCCTGGCTGCGATCAGAGGCCAAAAACATGGCCTCATACAAATCGTCAGCAACTCTCAAAATAGTTACCCGACTCAATCGAAGACAAGGAAAAAATTAAGTTCGCTATAAATAAATTCTCCCCATACAAATGCCCTGGCCCAGATGGCATCATTCCGATAATGCTCCAGAAATTACAGGAGCCTATGGTATCCTGGCTGGAAAGGGTCTACAAAGCCAGTATCAGCTTGACATACATTCCGAAAAGCTGGAAAAGAGTCAAAGCTGTCTTCATTCCCAAACCGGGAAGAAGAAATCACGAAAAAGCAAAAGACTTCCGACCAATAAGTCTTACATCTTTCCTGCTAAAGGTACTTGAAAGACCTACATATTAGGCTTTTGCTGGGAAATTCCAAACTTTCCAAAGCTCCACATACATACATTAAGGGCAGGTCAACTGAAACTGCCCTTCATGAAGTCGTGGGCACCATAGGAAAATCACTCCATTACAAGCAGTACACTTTGGCGGCATTGTTCGACATAGAGGGGGCCTTCAATAACATAACAGTCGAAGCCACTGTTCGATCTCTTGTGAATGTGGGAATATCTGACCACATATGCGAATGGATTGAACAAATGCTCAGAAACAGAATCATAATTTCAACCATTGGTTCAGTAACGCTATCCCGTTATGCAAATAGAGGCACTCCCCAAGGGGGAGTTCTGTCTCTGCTACTATGGGTGGTGGCACTGAACGACATTCTACTGGATCTCAACTAAGGTGGAGTGGAAGTAGTAGCATATGCAGAT